GAGGGGAAATAACACCGGTTTTCAAATGAAGATATTTAAAACGTGTAATGTATCTCGGCATGTTACTGTAAGCTGCCATTTGATGTTTTTCCTATAAAGCCTAAATTAAGCCTCCTAGGAACGGCTGTGTATCTCCTGCTCCTAGCTGCATCGAAAAATAAAATGCATTTTAAATGGCTATATTGCCAATACTCTGGTAGGCTCTAAGGCGCGAGCGTAATCGCCTTCCCCTCTATTTTCTCCCTCCGTTCCTAAACGCAGCCCCAGCCTCCAGACAACCCACCTTTAAATTTCAAGCTCATTTGAAACGTAAACTTTTAGCAAATAAGCGATGGCTGACGGAGCTGGATCGCCGCAGCGACTGGCAGCAAATTCCTTTTTCTCCCTCCCTCCCCTCGGCGTAAGGGGGTTTGAAAAACCCATCAGTGTCAAAAGAAACTGCGCAGATCGCTGCTGCTCTAAATAAGGCAGAGCAGTGTTCAGGAAAAAAAAAAAAAGCTAAAAAAAAAGGAAAAAAAAAGAAAAAATAAACCTCTACGACGGATTAAAATGACATTTCTGTACCGTGTCAGTAGGGATGACAAAGCGTCATGTTTTGCATCATTTCGAAAAGATATTCTTCAAACAAATTCAGTATATAAACAGGCAGAGGGCTTTTGTTTGAAACATTTGAGATCAAAAGTTAGGGGAAGAACAATTAATATTGCCTATCAAAATCCCCTGTTATTGTTAGAGATACATTTTGTGGTTACTGACTATAAATAAAAGCAAAGGAACAGAGCCACGGTTTCTCACCACTGCAAATATAAAAAAGGCGATTTCCAGCTTTTCCTTTTTTTTTTTTTCTCTCCCCCTCCAAGTTACCCTTAGATGTGTTTGCTGAATAAACGGGATTAACTGTATTTAAAACAAGAGATAAAGAACAGCTTTTTATTACCCTGAACAGTCTGCAGGGTTTCCACGCTCCTCCGAATGTACTTTGTGCCTGGAACAAAATCCTCATATTTTACCTTTTTTTTTATGACACCGTATAGAACAAGCAAAACATCCTTGCAACGATACAAATATGGACTCAATAGGGAATGGTGAAAAGAAAAAGAAAAAGAGCATTTTTACCATTTCTCTTTCTGGCCAAACGCTGGAGTGATTTTTTTTTTGTTGTTGTTTGTTTGTTTGTTTGTTTGTTTGCAGTTCTGCGGCAGGGGGAGAAGCCAGGAAGGAAAGAAGTCGTTGCACCCAAGGAGCTTTCCCCTTCCCTTCGGCTGCAAAAAAACCTCACCCAGCTCTGTTAATACAAAACTAATGGGGAGAGTGTGATCCGAAGAGCCAGGCTGCTATCAGCTGAATTGCGATGGAAGCTTGCTCAAAAAATAGGTACAAAGAAAAGAATTTAGACAAATTTGCCTCTTAACCTTTAAAGATTTCCTGCCTATTCCAGTATGTCCTTTATTACATTAATTTTTTATTTAAATTACACCATTAACTGGATATGAATTTATCAAGAATACATATATTGATTTATAAAACAGTATCATTAATTATTATAATAGCTAGATGTAGCTGATATTACAAAGCCATTTAAAGGTTTTTAATATAACTTGGACATACATAGATAGATAGACATTATGGACAAGACTACAATTTAAACTGGCTACCAGCAGTTAATGAAATCCTTGATTTATCTTCTCATTTAGAGATTGATTATATTGTTGCTTTGTAAAACTATTTATTTTATGCCATTTTTCAAAGGATGTCTCAATAAAAGAAAAAAGATAAATAAAATATCCAGTCAAGTCTCAAGGCATATTTTGGTTTATACTTTTCTTTTTTAATGCTGCTGCTGATAATTTATTACAAGTTTGGAGTCTTGTCACCTTCACGAAGAATTGGCTTTCTTGATAGTAATTCTGTTTGCAAATGCACAATTTCATATACGTGGATTAAAAAACAAAAGACGAAGAAGGAAAAAAAAAAAAAAAAAAAGAGGCTGTCTCCCCAACAACATCGTGTTTATTTCCTAAAAGAAAACCCAACAAAATGCCTTTCTGGCATAGATTTCTTAGGCATATTTCTGTTTAAGCTGTGGAAAAATGGGACTTACCCTAGTGCTGCAAAGCAGTCAGTCATGGAGAACATTTTGATTTAAAATGCAATCTGAAGAGAAGAAAAGAAAAAAAAAAATAAAAAGAAGGAATGATATAAACAAACAGTTCACCACTTTCAAGTTACTCCTAAAATGTTCCTGGCTTAACTAATACATTGAAAGTTTAAATCTTTACACATTGTTCTTGAGGGGCTATGTCTCTTGACTCTTTATTTATATCACTTATTCTTGTCTGGCAACATATGTTACCGATTTATTATAGTATTTTTTTACTGTTAGCCAGACAAATGTAAGGGCTAGCTGAGGAGGGGTAGTTGCATCTGATGAGTTTAACAATTGCAGGGCATCCTTTAAGGGTAGCCAATGGGCTCTTTTGAAGCTATAATACTCACCATTAACCATTTTCATGCTGACATATTTTTATTGTCGAAGTTGGGGCTTCCCCTGTCATCAGCCTCTTTTGTTTTCCATGGCTTCGCAAGCAAATCAAAAGGGCTTGGGGAGACCTTCCTCCAGCAAAGGCACCTCAAACCACACTTTGAGGGCTTGGCATCTAAGTCTGCATAGTGTGCCCCCCACAAATGAATAATAATAATAAAAAAAATTAAGTCGCGTGGAAAATAATACTCAAAAAAATTCTATAATGCATGAAAATGCAAAGAAATACCAACCATAGGCAGTCATATTTCTCAGTGCCATTACTGACACCAAAAGCTAACGGTGAGGAAGACCTTTCCCATGAAAAAAACCACCACCTCCCCCAAAATTCTTATTTTAAATGGACGCACCAAGAGCGGAGGGAGAAGTTGCGAGGACAGGTGGATGTCACGTTTTACACGTGGCCCATTCTGGAGTTAGAACTTGAACTCTTCCCACCTTTTTCTTCCTGCTCATCTTCTATCTCCTTGTTCAATGCCAACAAGCTCCTGCAACTCCACTGGAAACTGTACCCGTCTTTGCTGTTTGACTGCTGGAGCCCCAGCTCCAGCTTCTGCGAGCCAACAGGTTCCTACAAGCCATGGGGATGCAATTCCTAATGTAACACCACAATCACAATTTCCAGCCTTTCGGTGCAAGACCAGACCATTACATCTCCCAGCATGTCCTACCGTATACGAGACACCCAACATGAGATGCTCCAGAGCCCTGCTCACCAAGGATGGTCACCAAAGCAGACTGTAGGGCACCCTCTAAATTTTCTGCTGTTGGTGATTCCGTTGGACCTTTGTGATAAGAAACAGTTCTGAAAAATTTGGTTTCATTTCCCCTGCATCTTCAGGAACCAGGGGAAAGAGTCTGTGTGAGGGTAACACAAGACCATGGGTCCAGAGTAGTGACTTTCTACTGGGGAAAAAAATACAGCAAGCAGTTTTTGGGTGGAATATGAGGTGTCTCAGGTAGAATAAAAACCAGGAATTGCAATTAAACTCACTGGGCTCCTTTGAAGAGGGAGCCTGGGTTGGTGGGATCAGGGCATGTCTCCTGATAGCACTAGTGGGTCCTTGACAAGTACCACGCAATAGAGTTCTTACTGGGAGAAGAGGGAAAAATAAGTGCTTCCATAGGGTTTGTTGTTTTGACTTAATAAGAGTTTGGTTGTGCTGTGAAAATTTGCTTGGATTTTAAATTTTAAAAATGGCCAAAGATTCCCTCTACTTATTATAGGGGGGTTTGAGAAGAAAGTGAACTTCCTAAAGTTAGGTCTGGATTCAGCAGCATGCAAAAAACTTGCATGGCAATGAATATTTTCCTTCTTCTATCACTTTTCTATCACACGAAGGTAGCCTAACTTCTACTTCTTTTATTTCTTTTTTTTTTAATTTTTTTTTCCCAAAAGACATTTTAATTGTACTTTGGCTGACCTCCTGCATTAATTTGCCCAGAGGGATCCTTTGGAAGCAAATCTTGCCCTCCTAAAAGGCAAAGGAATGGGCACAACAGGACTTCTATAACAGAGGGTTTAGAGTCTTGACTTTTCCCCACTTCTGAAAAGTTTTGTTTAGGCAGGTGTCGTGGGTATCCTGGGCAAACATCAAATATTCTGTGGCATATCAAAGTATGTGGATTATTACCTATTTAATTTTCTGTTGCAAGGACATCGCTGGCAACTTCATAATTAAGCTAAGTAACCTCCCTTCAATTTGTTTATTCCCCTCAAACCTCTTTGGTTCTGGCCGGGGAGGGAGGAATGGGGGGCACGGCTCGGTCTCTCAATCACTCTCTGTTTTGTCCATCACCTTGGTTTCTTTCCCCTGTTTTTGACCTGCACTTTTTCTAGATCAGACACTGGCAGGTTGAGAGGTAATAAGAACCAGATGGACATAGTGCAGAAATTGCCCAAATGGGTACGAGAATGTGGGGAGCTGTCAGGCATGGAGAGAAGCTGGAATTTTTCAGCAATAAAATGGGATTTATCGCCACTCTACCACAGTCATTGCCGACAACCGTTTACCTTGACAGAAACCCCATTCCAATAGGCCACGCCGATGCAGATTTTTTTTATTTTTTTTTTTTTTTTTTTAGGCAGATCAGGACTCAATGCTCACAGTTTACTGCCGGGAAAATGATTTCACGGGTCTGCACGCCACGCAGTCGCTTCCAGGCATAGCTGCTCAGGGATGGTACACGTCCTCCAGCCCCTAACGTGTTCCCCTCCACAGCAGGGACATCCCTGCTTGGAGCGGGGTGAATGGAGGAGGTCAGTGGTTCCCAAAGAGTGATGATTGGTATTTGTTCTAAGGCTCAAATGGCCTGCACTAAAGGTGAAGCATTAGGCCAAAGTCCTGTATTCCCTACTGAGGCAAATGAACCTGCTAAAATAAGTTCCTTCCACAATAGCTGTGTAATTGAAACCAGAAAGTGAGAGAATTTGATAAATTGCTTGACCCTGAAGGAATGTTAAGGTCATAAATTTTCATTGCATTTTTTTTGCTTCTTTTTTAGAAGAAAAAAAAAATGCCTTTTTTTTCTTTTAATATATATATATTGATTATGTTCAGCATTTGTCTCTGAATTCCAGCTAGCTTCCAGATCATTAGCCATTACTTTGCCAACCTCTCCCCATAGGCAACTATTACCAGGTTTAGAGCATTCCTACCTACACCTTCCTAGGAAGGCTGAAGGACACAAAATATTCACAAATGGCAGCACTTACATACTATCGCTAAGGAATCTGCCACCTAAAGCACTAACAACCTGAAAAGGAGAGTTTAGCAAGTGCAATCCCTTTAGAAAGATGATATAAATTTTAAAAAAGCCCACACCAGTACTGTACTTGAGGAACGATAGAGTAAGAAAAAGGTCTGCAAATCATTTACAGGGAATCAAACGTTTATTGATATTCTTACCTTTTTTTTTTCTTTTTTTAAAATTTTTCTGGCTTGTTCTCATTATTTAGAAGTGGTGTTGCCTTTTTGTTGAAAAAAAAATGATTATCAGTATTTCATTGAATAATATGTACAGATGTCCCTTCAAGCTCAAAAGACACAAACAAATCCCAAACCTCACAGTGTCTTATCGTGGAAATACACACCTCAAGAATAAATAAATATATAACAGAATTTAAATAATAAAATCAAACCAAGAAAAAGGATGAGAAGAATTAGGAGAAGAACCAGGAAAGGTAAAACATCCAGCCACGCTCCCCTCTCTGTGCTTGCAACCACCGATAAATACAGCCGTGCTAAAATACAAGGCTAAGAAGGAATGGAGGGGAAGCGTAGAAGTATTTTGGTGCTGTGTATGTTTTTTTCCTTTCCTGCAGTAGCAAAATTTACTACTTTAACCGTAGCAGCTTCTGCTTCAACACTGCTTGAAGCGTGCTATCGTATACTAACTGCTTTTTATAATCCGACTGCTTCCCCCCCCGGCTTTGAATATAAGATTTCAGAGGCAAAAGTCTCGTTGTCACACTTTCAATAAGGTGTTACACTTCACGTAGCCATACATACTTAACCCAACATGAAGCGAGTTAAATAATCATTAGCACAGTAACCCACTGCTATCAAAAACTTATTGGTCCTCTAAATTTTAAATTAATGGCCTGTCTCCCTTGTTCTGTGTGTGTGTGTGTGTGGCTGGTTTTCAGCCCCTTCGGTGCAAAGTCATGGATGTTTTATCAGCACATATTAGATGATTTGCATTATTGACGTTTTAATTTAAAAAAAATTAAAAAAAAAAAAGCACAGGGAAAAATAGTTCCTGCTGAGTTGGTTCATCCCTAGACCCCTGATTCTTAAGTAACTCTTCTGCGTGTTAATTAGCAGCCAATATTTGACAAACCAACGAAGAAATACACTCTGCTCCTCCCTAGCCAGGTTGCTCTAGCTCAAATAAGTTTCCTTAAGAAAGCACAGAAAAGAGAAACTAAAGAAAAAAAATAATCTCAACGATGCCCCCATAAAATCCTAGCAAAAAGCTCAATAATTTATACTCACTTTTTCTTTTTGGGTAAGTTAAACGGAACTAAAGTGGGGTTTGGGGTTTGGTTTTCTTTTCTTTTTGAGGCACTTCTTTTCCCCTATAAAGTTTCTGGCCCAAATCTCCTCTTTCCTTTTTTATTTCTTTGAGTCTCAAAGTAATTGCTAGTCGTTTTAAGACAGTTACTTATCCGGAGAATGAAGGAGTATCAGCTGCATTTCAATTAGAGAAGGAAAAAAGATAAAGACTTGGAACGTAACCGAA